CTACTCTTTGTCAAAGCTATACCAAATTTTAACCAAGTTCATTTTATGACTAACGGATATGGTATGAAAAATTTCATATAATTATGAAAATCTTAATGTTTATGTTCAATGAAATCGTAACTTCTAAGACCTTAAATTAAAAAAAAGAAGCAAATTTTAATTCTTTTTAAAACTAGAACAACCAAAACTCTTAGGTTAATTTTCAATTCAATATAAGTTTTAATTAAGGATAAAAGTGAATCATAACCTACTTGTAAAGTTGGATGTGATTCAAGATATGTAAGTCTAGGATGTAATGATACAATACACCACTTTGATTCTTTGAATGAGATGATCGTGCTACCACTTTGGGTGATCGATGCCAAGGATAAGGACACGTTCTATATGCAATAAAAATAATGATTTGAAAAAGGAAAAAATCTCTCTGTTTAATTTTACCAAATATCAAAAATGTCCGACAACTTACAAAAGAGCATTTTAAATACTATTTCTCTAAAATCGTAATCCACTAAGACTTATTAATTTAATCCCAATTTAAAATAAATTCCTAATAGATTTGGACCTAATTAACTTAAAAATTCAATCCAAAACCTAAATAAAAGAAATAGTTCATATTTAACAAGAATGAACTAAAAGAAGAAATAAAAATAGGATAAATAACCGTGAATATTTCAATCTTGATGGTCTAGAAATATGTTGCCCAAGCATGCAACTTCAAGCTTGAACTTTCAGCCTTACCTTCAAGACACTCTTGTGTCAATAGACTATGAACAAAAGACAAAGATCTAGAAGATTCAACTATATATTGATAGCTGGTATGTAGTTTAATCCATCTAACTCTTTCTCAACCTAACATTGCTTTTAGAATTAGAGTAGTTAGTATATCTATGCTGATTTTATAGAGATCATGACACTTATCGTTCAACCACAAGTTATGTGTTCAATCTTGGTTCATTAGCAGTTTCTTGGTGTAAAAAGAAACAATCAAGTATCTCGTTATCAACCAAAAAAGTAGAATACGGAAGCGAGAACAATGACAATTCAAGAAAGTACATGGATGATGTAACTCACGAAAGATCTCCTCAATTTGTAGATTATATGATACTCGCTACATTATGACAACCAATCAACAATACATTTAGTTGAAACCCTAGTGTTTCATGCAAGAACAAATCATATAAAAGTGCATTATTATTATGTACTAGAAAATGTTTTGCATGAAAAAATTATGATGGAGAAAATCTACAATGATGATTAAATAGCAAACATATTTATTAAAGATCTTGCCAATACTAAGTTTAAAGAATTTCGAGAAAAGCTTGGAATTACTACAAGAAAAAAGATCAATAAATCGAGTGTTGAGAGAGAGAGAGAAATAAAAAAAATCAATACTATCATTAATGCACCACCTTCCTACCATGAATTAGTATATCAACTTCCCACCATGAATTAATGCACCATGGGTTAACCAACTAGTATAAATAGGCAATTTCTTTTCATTTGTAAACATCAAGAAAAGCGAGTGAATCCTAGTGTAGGAGCAAAGTGAGAGTGAGAGTGAGTGAGCTACTCTTCTAAGTGGAAATCTTGAGTGTCTTGTATTTTGACTCTATTTTCAAATTATTGTGAAGTGTTGTGTGAACTAGTATATTTATATATTAAAATTGAATTGAATAAAATAAAATAAAATGTAATCATGGATGAACTTATACTATTTGTTCAAATCCATACTATATATATAATAATGAAAAGATAGATTATGGATAAATGACATATGCTTTACTTCCTTTATGATTTTTCTTATATAAAAAATGGTAATTGAAAAATAAATTAGCAATAATAAAAAAGGTAAATATACTCATTTATCTTTATATGGTACTCAAAGTTTTTCATATGTTTTAGATTTTCAATTGCATCTCATTTGTCTTTGATTTTTTTTTTAAAAATGTGTTCTCTTTCTAATTAAATTTTTCGACAATAGAATTTTTTTTTACCAAAATACCTTTTACTAAACTCGTTAAAAAAAAAAAACATTTAAAGTCACATGACCCACCAATTCTATTTTTAAAATCTTTAAAATTTTATTTATTTTGCATTTTAATTAAAATCATTTTGGTCAAAAAAATTTTAGCCGTAAAATTGATTAGAATGACGAAGTTAGAACATTTCAAACACTTTCAAGAATAAATTGGATGCAATTAAAAACTTAAAACATATAGAAGACTTTGAATAGTATTATATAAGGACATAAGAATTCAACAAAATCAAATATTCACTTTAGAAACCGAGATAATATTACTAAATATCAAATAAACAAACCGAACCCCCCAACACACACACACGAGAGCGCACGCATATAACCAATCAAAAAAAGTATAAAGAAAAATATATGTTTATGATCTATAAATGATAATTTTAGTATCATGATTTATAAAAATAATTTAAAACTTAAAAAAAAAAAAAGGGATTTATACTAAACTATTTATCCATCTATTTAAAATACAAATTAAATTAAACAAGATGGTGAAATATGATATTAACATATATACAAATAAAACAATACAAAATCTATTATAAAACGAATCTAGCGACAACTAGTAGATCAAATGCTAGGTATGATGTTTTTTTTTCTTTTCGGGAGAATAGGTGTCATGGACTTTCCTTGCCCAACAAAGAGCAGGTAGCCCAAGGATTTTGGGATGATCGGTTACAAAGTCTTATACATTATCTCATGGCAGCAATCTTTCTCTATAGTAGTTAGTGCAGGATTCAAACTTAAGAGTACGGATGTGGACTAAAATAAAGTCCACAACTTGAAATAATCATGCATGGGAGTATGTTTTGACTACCACCAGCAATTTAACGTAAATAAAAAGTGAGAAAAGTAAGACTACATTTGATGCACATTGATATTGTTTTTTATTTCTGAGAAAAATTGAGAAAACCCTTTTATGCCTAACTAAAAAAATGCGAAGTTCCTTTTTTTTTTTTTCTATTTTTTTCCTGAAGGAAAAAAGTTTCATCAGTTTGAGAAGGCACTCAAGTCTCGGTGTTCCTAAAGGATATCTGTTAAAGAAATTGAAATGGATCGAGTGGATGGCAATGTGATTTCATCCAATGGCTGGCGTAGAGCCATATTTAGTGATTAAAAAGTCGAACAATAATAAGCACACAACGCATGACTTGAATTTTTTTTTGCTCTTTAGGACCTTTATGTTCAATCATTCTCAGTTGGGTAGTTAGAGTGGATGGATGGATGACCTGAGTCCGACTTAAGAATGCAAACCTTGCGGAGAGCCTTTCTTCAGCACAACTTAATATGTAGGAAATCATCAGACTCTACTAAAACCCATAGCTCAAAAAAGAGGAATTGATCCATTAAACGGGTCTAAAGTTCCCCCAAAGAATACACACTGTTCTTAAGGAAAGCCACCCTCCCAAAAAAAAAAAAAAAAAACTTTAGAATCCTTATATCCTAGGACGCTCTAGCACCGAAGAAGAAGCTGATATCGCACTCTTCCATTATCACTTGGAGACAAATCATTTAATAAATATTTTTTGAATGATGAAATCAATCCGATCACCAATCATCATGATCGCATTAACAACATCGCAAAATAAAAAAGATGTCTTTTTTACTGTGAAAGTTGCTCTCATAATTGTTTATATAAATGCAGAACCCTTACAAGAAGAAAGAGACTTCCCCAGCCAAAATGATTAGTTTTGCAGATGTACAATGCAAAGGAACTTCCATCACATTATTCAATAGTTAAACAACTATTATCGTCATCTTGAGTTGTGTATCTTAAATTTATTGAAGAAGTCGATTGAGGACTCATCAAAAACCTTCTTATTTCTCAAATGATTTTTACTTCCAAGACAATCTAGTGTTGTCATTACTAAAAAATAATTGTTGAAAATAAGTTGCGGTGGTCGTACCAAACCAGATACATGAAATCAAGTGGCACAAAATTCTCATAAAATATATTGATACTCCAAAATTTTGTTAATTAAATTAACCAGTCCAAGTGTGGATAGTTTGCTTAAAATCAAATTTATCAAAATTCGTTCTAAAGAATATTGCCATGATCAGTTTGATTAGACCTTAGTCATAACTCATAATGCATAAAAATTAGCCGGAAGATACTAAACTGTAAACTGAGAAGAAAAAAATAGAAAAAGAAAAGAAATAGCTCTTTACGAACCCAAGTACCCAACGGCCCTTTTCTGATGATTTCAAAACTTGAATATTTTGTGCTTCTATTGGGCTTATTACTGCAAACAATAATGCAGCTAAAAGCCCAACAGAGCTGCTTCACCAGACCCATCATTTCAACCAGAAAGGTTCCTCGCCTAGTCTTTGAAGCTATTGAGACTTTTAGACGCTGAAGATGTAGAAAGCTCCACCAAAGCACCATTGCCGTGGGACTTTCAGGAAACCTCTTACTCTGTCATCGCGCTAGTCAACTTCAAAGATAAAGAGCTCCTCAGAAACGAGGATGCATCGCTGCATATGATTCTGCGAAACGCATTTTCACTCTTGATATCAACTTTTTATCAATAACATCCATAGAAATAAATGGAAACTGTTATACAGAAGTCCGAGTGTGGTAACTCGATCCAAATGCCAAGGCACAAGATCGCCCGTCTGAATTATTAAATCAACCTGAAGTTTCGACACAACCATGAAAACAATGCAACTGAATTTCTTTCGAATATTGTAAATCCTAGTCAACTTGTAATCAACGACATCATAAAAAAATACATGATGTTACCAACTGCAATATGAAGTTATGAACTTCATTGTTAGTTGAATCGAGTAGTATTAAATTTTGAAAGAACAATGGACCTGTTATTTCACCTTCAACCACATAACCCCATCCCCTAGATGTTATTCAACTACCATGTCATTATTCCAGAGTTAAAAGCATGGAAATACTGTACAAGTGCTAGGTTCACTGTTTCTGGCTTGTGAAGAACAAACTGAAATGGACACAGAATCACTTCCGGCCCAACCTAGCCAAATGCTGCTGGTGTTTTGCCGCAGCAGCCTTGTCAGCTGCTTCGCGCTTGAGCGTCCTCTTTGCCCGTCTCCCTGTTCTATCTTTTGCAGCTTCTTTCTTCTTAGGTCCACGTGAAGATCCCTCCCCTGAGTCCTCGAAATTTGCTCGATACACTGGCCTCGCTTCTTGACGCCCTGCCCTAACATAGCCATTATCACCCCACCTCCGATTTCCAATGCGAAGATTGGATGAACTGCTCAAGTACACTTCATCTAGATCATCATCCTCATCCTCGTATTCATATGGATAATAATCCTCTGGATCTTCACAACCATCTTCATGATCCTCCACAGTCAAAGGCATGAACCATGCAGCTCGAAGAAGAAGGCACACACTTTCCTCAAACATGTAATCTTGGATGCTGTTAAAGAAAGAAAAATCTATTAAAATTACCTAGAAGTACAGCTCATTTCAGCAATACAGTTAACAGATGGCAATATTTTCACTAAGCTTAAATAAGCCAAGATCAAGTATTTTGATCAGATGAATCACTAAGTCACCAGATACAGAACATAATACATGATTGTGTAAAAGATTTCAACCTGCCATCGAGAGATCTGTGAACATTGAGAAACTCAAATGGATGTTTGCACTGAGGACAAGTTGGGTTCTTACTGTACGTGGCCCATCGAAGGATGCATGTCACACTACAAAAAGAAAAGGACAGAAAGAACAATGAATACTACTATTACAAGCCATTTAGTGTATGAAATTTGTTAAAATAGTTCTTCACAATATCAACGTCAAAGGAAATCATCAACATATCACCGGTGCTTGCATGTGATTCAATAGGCACATGGAATATCCTATGATCATCCATAATTCTTCTGCAGTTATGTGAAGCTAGAAAATTCAACATCATAAACTAATTCTTAGTGAGTTGGAGAGCACCATATGAGCATACACCTTAGTGACAAGATAAATCCTTCACAGCATAAATAGGTGGATTATTCAGTTTCTTACATATATAACAATCATTGTGCAATTCTTCAACACCAAAACAAATAACTCATCCAGCACCATACTCAGGAAAGCCCACTTCAAAACAAATGAAATACAAGTAGACTGAATGGAAAGGACAGATTTATACAAATTTAAAATTTAAAAGGATAAACTCTATTCAAAAAATATTTCTTTGAACTGCAGAAAGAATAGTTGCAAGTGTGATAACCACATGGCATAATGATGAAAGTGCAGGAACCCATAAGAAGATGTAAAAACAAAGAAACTAGATGGTTCAACGCAAAGTTAGAATCTACTTGAAGAAGTGAGAGCCACAGCATAAATGTAAGACAGCCTTAAACTCAAATCTCACAACTAATATACCATCCACATAGGTCTGTAAGAATTATAATCTTCAAGATTGTGTTATGCAAGAATTAGTATGACTTGCAGATAGAACTCAAGTATAAGGAGAAGCTCTGAAATTGGGACTGTTAGGGCTTGTAGTTGGAACGTGAATGGACTATTGCAATGTATAAGAGTGCACATCTTAGCATGGGAACAAAGACAGTGTTCAGAAGGAACAAGCATACGTGACAGGAAACTATCTAATACTAGCTGGCAGAGACAGATTAAAATAAACGTACCTGCTCTATTAATTCCAGCAACCTGACTAATATAAACCAGGTCTCAAAAGGCGACAATGAAAGAAAGGGAGTTTTCATTTATTCCACAACAGGGAGGCACAGTGTGAAACTCATAGCACAGATGCAAGTCATCACAAATTCTTTGAAAAACAAAAGAAAAATAGAAGTAGCAAATTAGCTTAACATGTTAAAGGAAAAAAATAACATATGCATTAAAAATGAAAATGGTATAAAAATGAATGCCATAGCACACAATTAGTTCCAAGCAGCCATTAATCCGAATCCATGATATGTCATGCATGATCAAAACATTATGTAACACATAAAACAGAGGCACGGTAGCCTAGCACACATATTCATGCAGAGATCACCAGACTCAAGCAATTTCCAGCTTCACCACGGCACTTTGTTTTCGTAGGTGACAATACATAGCCCTAACCAACCACACGACATTTCTTGACTACTTGAGCTTAGGCTTCACAGTAGCACAACAAATTGCACAATGGCCTTATTACAGTGGAACAAATGAACTATCAGCTACACCTGCTGATATGATTCCTAAAACATTCTCTTGATAATAACTCAAGGCCCCTTCAACAAAAAAATAGGAAAAAACTTACATGTATAGAGTAAGAAAGAAATGCCACAATAGTTTTAATTCTACAAACATATTTCTATCTGTTTATAGGTCACACTTCTACATTTTGACCCTAATACAATATCGATTAGTTCCAGTGTAGACCAGCATCAAAGCCATCATCATTCAAACTAAACCATTCCACATTCGTAATCTTAGCAAAACAGGTGTGAATCCATGACCAATAAGGCGAATTGAAAAGGAAAAAAGAAACACCAGAAGACTCCAATCAATAAGCATAAATGTATACAGAAGTTTCTCGATCACACCAATCAAGTGCATCAAATTTAACCAATACAGTCATGTTTCAGAACAGAAACTGCAAACAGAAGAGATTGATTATACTAACCAATAAGCATGCTCGCAACCTTTAACAAGAGCAGTTTCCTGAAGCACAATCTTATCCAAGCATATGGCACAAATCCCACCATGATTCCCACATGCACTTTCGCTACTCTCCAATTTACTCTCCATTTCACCCTGAAAACAAAATCCCACAACAAAATAATTCACGCAAAAATCCCCAATAAACCAACTTGTACCGAGAACAAGCTAACAAACCCCAATCAGACAAAAAAATACTGGGGGTTTCTGATAATCATTAAAAAAAAAAGGTTTTCTGGGCTGTAAGAGAACTGTAGTACTTCAAAATTAACAGTTTCAACATACTTGTATTAATATATTAATTAATCAGTCACAAATAATTGCAAACGTTTTGCTTTCTTGATCAAAACATAATCACTGTTTAGTAGGAATTCAATCACCAAACAAAAACAATATCATTGGATTCATCATTTTCTTCAATTTGTTTGTATTTTGTGTAAGATCAAACACGCAGAATTTTAATTTAAAATGAAAAAAAAAATTGTAACTAGATCTAAAAGGTCAAGAAAGAAAGTACCTGATCTTGATGGGCAGGACGTAATTGGTGACCGTCGATGTTCATGACTGAAGTCATGGTTTTGATCAATTAAATTTCGTTAAAAGTTTACACACAAAAAAAAAAAAAAATCCCGTTTTTTTTTTTTTTGTTCAACTAATCTAAATTTCCTAAAAAATTTATACAGAAAAAAGATTTATAGAGATATATATTAAAAAAAAAAAAAAAGGAAAAGATGCTAGAGTCTAAAGAATGATTCTATCCAGATTCCTACAGAGACAAGGAGAGAAGATTTGGAGAAGAGAGAAGAGAGAAGAGAGAGGAGGGGGAGGACCCTCTTTTGGATCGACAGGGTCCGAGGGAGTGTGTGTTTGTTGTGGATGATAATATATGGCGGTGGGTAATTTCACCTTTTTTTTTTTTCCGTTTCCAATTTTTTAGGGTTGTGACAACAGACCTTTCTATGCATGTGGGTATATTCCAAGCACCCACTTTTCTCTTCCCTTGTTTCTTTATCTTTTCTTTCTTTCTTTTTTTCTTGAAGTGAATTTAATTTCAATAAATCATTATTAATTAGATTAGATTAATGAATTTATTTTTGATAAAACAAAAGAATAAAAATACCTAGACGACAATTGAGTTACTACTAAATGGCAGTTCCCATCTAAATTAAAACTAAAAATCTATAAAACATTTGTATTTTTAGAATTTATGAGTCTGTTTTCTTTTTTTGAAAATAGATGTGGCCGAGTATATTATTTATCACATTGAGGGTTGAACGGAATTGGATATGGTAGGCAAAGGAAACGGGAATAGGAGACGAAAGTGGGTAAGATGGCCTCTAACGAGTAAAAATTTTATAATAGTGACTAGTGATATATATATTAGTTACTTTATGGATTCACTTTGAAGAACGAGATAGACATATAAAGTAAAAAAAATAAAAGAAAGAAAATAAAAAAATTTAAACGGACGTGAAAATCTTCTTAATACTTTTGATGGATATAGATATAATTTTTATTTTTATATATATATCTATCTCTCTTGAAAATGAACCTATAAAATACCTATTGTATATATAATTTATTATAAAATTTCTCGTTTAACGAGGTTGCGTGCTTACGATAGACTTAGAATAATAGTGGAATAGTATTATTAGTAACCGCGGATAGGAGAATTGGCAAAGACCATCCTCTCCCTCCCTCCCTCCCTCCATTTAGGACGCTACAAACACACGTGGTGGTTTTTGTTTGGACTAAAACAATGACGACTACGAAATCTCAGTTCATTAAAACAAGCAAGCACCAATTAAATTGCGTTCGCTATTCCAAGTCAACGAATCAATTTTCAATTCAACCTGCGTGACTAATTTTAATTGTTTCATAAGATTTACTTCTCTTTTTTTATTTTTTAGAATTAGTTTTAACATATCCACGTCAGATTTACTTCTCCAGTTAATCTATCAAGAATCTATACCGAAATTGGCTTCATAATATTCCTTTTAGTGCAATTGGGCTCGCTTACTACTTTTCCTGGGCTTTCTTCAGTGTCCAATAGTGAATAGATCTCGAACTGGGCTCGAAGCCCATCTTCCAACCTGGCCTTTCTTTTGAAGGGAATCGGTGATTTTTCCTCTGCCCAAAGTAGAGAAACATAAGCATCGTACTGTCTCGAAGTTCTGGGAACTAACAATGGGGACGGTGACAAACCAAGCAGAGCAGCAAACCCAAGTCCAAACAACGCCGGAGGCTATTGATTCTTTACTTGAGGTATCTCTCACAAAACCTAATTCTCCATTTTTAGTGAAACTCGGTTTTTTAGCTCAACTCTTTTTTTTCTTCTTCTTAAAGGCTGCTAGATATGATGATATTGATGATATTACAAGTTTAGCATCTTCTGGGATTTCTCTTGATTCTAAAGATTCACTGGGCAGAACAGGTCATGCCAGTTTTATGTATCTTCTATTGTAACTTTCTTTTTTATTATTATTATTTTTTTTTTACGCTTTGCTATTATGTTTGTTACTGAATTTGTAGATAAAATATCCTGTTGTAGTAACTTGTTGTAAGACTTGTTAGAAGTTTAGGTACTAATTTGTTTTCATCCCATGTAGGCATGTTCTCTTTTTCTATTTCTGAAACTGTGATTTAATCAATCCTTATTCACCTCTAAAAAAAAATCTTGATGCTATTCGGCATCCAATTAACGAGGTCCTAGTTGTAGGAATGTTGGACTCTAGCTTGCAATAGGAGATGAAGATTTGTAGCTTTTTCGGATATGTTATTTTGGTTTGAGGTAATGTTTCACTACATTGGTTCCTTATTCTTTTTTTCTTTTCTTTTTTTTTTTTTTTTTTTTTAAGATGGTGAAAATATGACCAGAAATGTATTTGAAACAGCTCATCCCTTTTCTTTTGATTAGAGAATGGGAGAGATTAAATTAAAGGAAATGCAGAGAAACCACTGAGTTAAAGTTGCTGAGAAACAGAAATTTGGAAGTGAAGCTAAAGGCATTTTAGAAATATTGTTCCATATCCAAGCAGCCATGCTTGATTCCATGCCGCACTAGCTTTTTCCAATGAATCTGCAATGGAGTTGCTCTCTTGGACAGATTGAATAACCCAGCTTACATGGGGACAAACCTGCTTCATTTTGTTTTCTGAACATTTGTCTTATTTTTCTAGGTGTTGTTTGATCCCATTTCCCTCTTGTTGTTATAAATTTCAAGAGATGGTGTGTTGTTTTGATTTTTGATGTTTGTTAATAGACGTGAAGAATTTTGATTTTGATAATTGTTCCTCCAAAACGTGCTGCAGATTCTTTATTTAAAATTATTTTCTAAAGGGCCACATAGTCTTTTGATGAATTGGAATTTTGAAAATTGTTTATTATTGATTCTTGATTATTGTCTTGTTTATTGAAGCTTCAGTTTTTGCTCTCTCCTTTTTATGAGTTTTGCATGGTTTAGTGGATGTTTGACTTTGCTTTACTGATTGAGATTGCAGCACTCCATATGGCTGCAGCTAATGGACATCTTGACATTGTGGAGTATCTTATCAGTCAGGGAGTGCTAAGGGTCCATCGTTCATTTTCCTTTTCAGGTTTATGGGGGCTGTGGGTTCTGGATGCTGTTGAAAGGGCAAGGCAAAATTGCATTTCTTGGAAGCATTTGTGGTCGAATCCTTTGCTGTGTATTCCAAGTTACGTGTCTTTTTAACGCTTCAGCGGCTAAAATAGCTGCATGGTTTGCTTAGTTTTAAAACTACTTGGCCTTACTGTTCTATTCTAGCCTCGCCTACCAGACATTCTACCTTTAGTATTTAACTTTCTTGCTTGCATATTTTGCTTCCATTTTCTTAAGACCATAAATGGAGGAGCATATTTGTGTTGTATTTTTTGTCCGTGGATTGAACTCTGTTCGTAATGCTTTGATAAGATCTATTAAATGTTGGAAGTATCCATTGAATAGGATCTCAATGCTTCTAATGAGGAGAAAAATACACCTCTTCATTGGGCTTGCCTCAATGGTCATATTGAGGTAATTATCATGGTCACTTCCCATAGCAATTTTGTTATGCAGCATTTCAGGTTCTTTAACAAATATCAGGATCTGTAGGTAGTCAAGAAATTGATTCTGGCAGGAGCTAGTTTGGGCATTCTAAATAGGTGTGTAATTTGAACTTGTAGCCTGGAGTTTGTTCTCTGTATCTTGTGTATGCCAACATTCCCAAATCTATAACTGGATGATTTTCAGCCATGAACGGACTCCAATGGATGAAGCTGTTACTTGGGGAAAATTGGATGTTATTGATGCAATTAATGCAGCTGTGGCACAAATGGAACTTGCTGGTGTTACAGTTTCCTAGTCTGGGATTTCTGTGATATATCTAATCAATTAAAATGTGAAGGTACATCTTGTTTCTCATGGATTACAAGCTTTAAATTTGAATATTTTGGTTCATATGCTGTAGCTGGTGCATTGATATCCTCCGATTCCTGCATAAATCATGTGACAATTTATTTATTTGATTTGATCCTGATTTTGTGTGGATTTTTTTAGGATGTCAAAGATGTAAAAGGTGGCTGTCTTAGTTTTCTGAAGATTTTGTGAAAGAATTTCGTAGTGAGAAGCATCTCAAATTATGCCTGGCACTAACTGGTGATGCTAGTGGAGGAATAAATGAAAATGATTCAGTTCAAGCCTCTTGATATTCTTCTAGGGAGACTTCTTTACGTAATTTATTTCTTTGTAATGTACAGAAAGGTGCAATGCTTACTGTCTGCAAGAATGATTGTTTGATGAGATCTGGAGATTCTATAGTATTTTCAGAAGATTAATCACTGAGTTTTGTACTAATTTATAGATTCCGTTTCCTCTCACTTCTGAGAGTTAAATAAACTTCTTTCTCTTTGCATGAACGGTTTTCAATGAACAATGGTTTCATTTCACGATTTTATTCCTGTCGGGCATAGGATTTGATTGGTTTGAATTGGTAAACTATGCAAGTTTTTTGCGCTTTTTGGTGTTGAGTATGATTAGCCAAATCATAACGTGTTGAAAGTTTTCTATTTCTATGGGTTGAGAATTCCAATTTGAGCATTTCAACTTATGGGACGCCTGGTTTAAGTTTCTTGCTAATTTACTTGAGCCTTTATTGGCAGAACGCACTAAATATTACTTGAATCCCATTTGTCCTTTTAGTATTGTTGGTATAAAGTTGCAATTTTTTTTTGTTTTTTTTCCCTAGTTTGTTCAGTGCAGATTTTGATTTGGTGCAACACTGACATGCACCTTCTAGTTTCTTTGCTTTGAAGACTTCGAAGTTAAACCAAGGATCTTGGGTAACAACACTACAGAAAAAGGGTAAGAGCAGCATCAGGAAAAAAATAAAATAAAAGGAGGGATTCTTTTCAGGACTGGAAATTTAGGAACTTCTTGGTCCTAATTTTTAGAACAATACTTTCCACTTTAACAGAATTTAAAACCCCGATGCGATTCCCGAATTCGTTCCACCATTGATATATGGTGAGACCTGATGGAACCCACAATTCCAATGGTTTGGATCATTTGATAAGTAGCAAATTTTCCTAGTTTTTTGGAGAATAAGCATAGAATTAATTTGACTGGCAAGTTCATCAGCACTGGTGTCAAAACTTCTTATAAAAAGAAAACATGACTAAAGATGACCAACTGCTAAAAATTGCCTCCAAGCTTACTTGCAGCCACGTACCTGAATGAATACTCTCAACATTTAGAGTTGCTGAAAGTGTTCCTCGGTCCAAAATAAACAAAGTAATAGCTCATGCATTCCATGATTGCTATATATTGTGTGGCATGAAAGCAGTTGCTGTCTCAAGAAAAAAACCATGGCAAAAATTTGGCAGTTCTTATTTATTGTAGTACTAGCTAGCTAGGGATTAGGAAGTAGGGACATAATAAGAGATTCCATGACACATCTACATAAAATATAGTATACACGTAAGCGCAATAGAGCACTAAAACTAAAAGTTGGGTGATTAAAATAACTAATAAGTGGTTTCTAGAACATTTTATATACCAGTGCATACGAGCACCAAAAGTATCAATTATACCACCATCATAAAGGAACTTTTCCAACATTTAATAATGCTGACCCTTAATATATATATATATATATATATTGATATGGAATTGGAATAATTGAGATTGCAAATTAATGTTCTTCTTTTTGGTGTTTATCACTAGTTTTCTCCGACTTCTAATCATTACTCCCATGTTTCTTTCTTAAAAACTTTTGGTTGGTTAATGTTGGCTCAGATTGTAGAGTCTCTCACTGTTTCCAGTGGTTCCATTAGTTTGCAAAACAGCTATTGCAAAATTCTGAGCAAATTCCAAATCAATGTCACTTCCAAACCCATTACCGGAAACAAAAGAAAACAACAACGACAACAGAGAAATGGCAAAATCCAGATATTGGAAACTTATCACATCCATGTCTAAGAATCAAACCTCAGAACGTATTATTATTATTTGTTTGTTTTTTATTTCTTATGGGTTACAGTTATGGACATATTTTCTAGACTAGTTGTAACATATCAAGATTAAACGTATCCTTCTTTAATAAAGATAAAAGTTAAGTCACCTAAGAGGTTTGGTTTGAGTGAAACGAGCTCTACTCACTTAAACAAGTAGTTTTAGGTTCGACTTTTTATGTATGCAAAAAACCCTTCGAGTAGTTGTGCCTATTTTGCTATCTCGATAAAACAATGAGAGATTATTTACGGTTTTTGAGTTTAAAATACCTTGAAAATCTAAAAGATAAAAGTTAAGTCATCTATAATAGAACTAGAGGATTCGTCACATTAATTTATTTTTCGAGACTCACTTGAAATTTGGATCATAAATTTAAATAATGATGCTTATGTTATTCGGTAGTTGATATATAATGATTTTGTGGTATTTTTTGTTGTTATACAGCATTATATAACAATTACGATCGTTATTTTGTTACCGCAATAAGCTATGATCCGCAATTATAATCGTGATCGTTTTTCCAACTCGCGTCCTGCTATTTAAAACTATCATTTAAACCTTGTGGCTAAAGAGAAAGCATCATCATTGACTCCTTAACCATAAAGCTAGCTCCTAAAATACTTTAATTGAAAGAAATATTCAAATGTAGTTTCTATGCATATAGTCCCTAGAAGCTGGTCTCAAAATGTATTTGCGTCTCTTGTTAAAACATTGGTCTTAAACATCCGGAGATGTCTTAGAACAAAAGTTAAGAACAAACGGCTTCCCTAAAATAAATGGATTTGCTTTTATCTCTGAGTAACCAGCTTCATGTCATAACTTAATGAATTAATGGTCAATAACTTAAAGACATTTTTGTGTCATTAGGCAAAACCATCATCTCTCTATCTAATCAAGTTAACTTCTTCCATATCTTCTAGAACAATGCCAAATGATTAACTTAATTAACTTCTTCCATCTCTTGTCCCTTTCAAGAAAATAGCCGTAATGTTTCTTCCAAGTTATGCAAGTCATCCGTGCACCGGAGCTTTGCTAATTTTCTTCGATTCCTTTTTTCTCGAAAAGAAACCTTTTGGGTTTTTGTAAAGTGAAAGGAATTATCCGCTGCCTGAAAAACCATATCCCATTCCAATTTGCAGACGTTTAGATAAAAGTTTCAGATTCAAGAAACTGAGATGTTACAAATAACAGCTAGGACTATATGGTAATAAGAAGAACATGGTAACATGGCAGTTAGGGCATCCTACAACCAAGTCTGAGAGCCTTTATATAATATAACCAAGGAATCGTTAAGTTGGCTTTTAATTATTCTGGGGAAAAAGGAAAAAAAAAGTTGGCTTTTAACCAGGGGTTCTACTTGCAGGGCAGGTTCCTTGAGAAATAGCATGGAGAGAATCTAAGGGGTTGATGTTTGAAAGAGACAGCATACCTACAGTTTCATAATTTGGTATTTGATTGGCACTGGATTCCTAAGCACAGTTAAGAAATAATGTCATCAGAAAACTTCCTTTTTTGATTGAGTGATTAGAATACTTGAAATATGAATGTATAGCAATGACTTTGTTGGTGTAAACGTTGTCATGTTCTTATTGACATTGTGTCATATACAAATCAACAACCTTTTTTAAGAAATTCTCACCTTGGAAATACGGGACAATTAAACCATAGGAGTGTGAGAAAACCCTACATATACAACATTTTTCCATCTGCAAAAGCATCGAGAATAAATTCCACTACCATTTCAGGAAACTGCCACTTAATTTGGAAATAAGCAACTTTAGATCACATCTATAGTGCCTGGAATGAAACCTGCCACTGCTACAATTCCACTTCCCATCAAAGGCCATTGGAGATAACCAAAAATAAATAAATTCCAACATCTTTTTAGCTCTAGAGGTGTAAAAGTAAGATTTTTTTATTTTATTTTTTTTGTTCTCTTGACAAAATTAAAGAAAATTTTATATATAGCAGTTGAACAAAAAATAACATTGCTAGGTTTTTCTCGGATAATAATACAGAAATTGTGCATGACAGCCTTTTATTGTGTCTGGTAGTTGAATGACAGCTTACGCATTGGTTGCAAGTAAAGTCCTCAGTTTGAATTCCAGCCTTTTATAGATTTTTTGGCATTCTAAAAGCCACAAAAAATACAAACAAAATAAAAATCGAATTTAAATTCTATTATCTTTTTGAATGTTTATTGTAAAGATGCACAAAAATTTTATGTTCTTGAAGGAGATCCTTATATGCAAAGAGAAGAGGTCTATAAATTCAAAAAAGAAAAAAAAAACAAATACTTTACAACTTGAAGTTAAATTTTGAGTACACACACTGTTAGCTTGCCTCCTCGCTACCGTTTGTCTGTGCAATTATCCTGCTGCAAACTGGACAAAAAAATCAGCTTTCAGCTTTCCATCCAATTGATTTTTGTTTTTGAACGTTTTTGGTCTCAAACATACAATCAAGAACCGACCATGAAACAAAAAAGAGAGCCGCACTAAACTTGGAATGCCATGTTTTCATCCTTTACGCATTCGTGGTGGGGGATGCAATAATTTTATAATTATTTAAGGGGTAAAATGCGTACCTCTAATGCATTAAAAGATAATAAAATTCAACTTCTACTAATAGAATTTCAGAACAGTGATCAATATTCACCCCTTCGAAATTCTGGTGTCACCATCCACAGAAAATAGTGAACGAAAACAACAGCGATGCTACTGTATTTCTGAAAAATCATCATCCTTCCCACGTGCAGCAAAAACAAACTCCACCTACTGGTTGCCATCTAATGTGATGCAATTGACATGTAATCGATGAGAACATGAACTTCGCAAAACTTGCAAGATCCATTTAGAACCCTAATATAAAGACTTCAACTGATCCATACATGCTATATGTCGACAATTCCTTTCTTCAACCAATTAATGGTCCCTTTATGTTTCAAAAGACGTCAACATACTGCTGCATTTCTCATCATCAATACTACTAGAGATTCACATTCCTAGATCCTAACATATAGCTTTACTAACGGGAACAAATTAACAGTGACTACTTACTGCCGTGGAAATAATCTACGCTAAAACGAAGGACAAACATGATCTATTTTCTTGAAAAAACAACTATTCCTTTAATACTAAAAGCTGGCAACTGTTGAAGAAAATGATGCACCTTTTCAAGACTCAACTCTTAACAAATTAATGACTTGATTGCAAGAAATTGGCATCAGGGGGGGTCAAGAAAATCAGATATTTAAAACAAAGTGAGGGTTAGAGGCTATGTGAATGGTGCCAGCATAAGTGACTGAAAGAAAAGTAAAAGGAACGAGGATACAGACAATGAACGAAACACAGCACACGACAAAAGCTCGTACAAGTAAATTGCTGAAGTATATGGCAGCACAGGGGCACAATCATGATGAAATTCCTATCCACAAGTAGATCAACAGTTTTAATATAAGTCATATATCAAATATTGCCTCAAATAAAAACAAAGAGACAAGATTTGTCAAATGATCAAATCACATTAAATCAGATCACACATCTTTCAATCTGTCAGTGATCAGTATATTCCAAAATGAAATGCATGCTCCTAACATCCCATGTGTTATGAAAAGAAACAACTGCATGACCCTAACATTTAAACACAACACTTAAGTTTTACAAACAAACATTCACAGGTAAAACTCCAACAGTGATATGATTAGCCTGTTTCTGTGCTTCAATAAAGTTCAAAAAGACACCAACAACCAAAGCAAAAATCTACTAAGCCAACCCCACCATAGTACATACACATCTGGTTACCGCATCAAAACAATACACGGGAATTTTGCTACCTAATTAGACACGTATATGTGCGAAAAAAAAAACCCAGAAACGTTTAACATAAAGTAACGGGATATAAGCAAAAGGCTTTTATTCCCCACCTTTGATCTGGATACTGACATATGAAAACTGCAAAGATTAATCGTTACAAGTTGAGACACTATGCAAGCAACATGTGCCATCCGAAACCCTAGCCCCCCAACTCCAATGTTCAAAGAGAGATTAAAGGACATGAAGATAAGTTACTACTGCAGGATCAAAACATAGGTAACAATCAAAACAGGGCCTAGAGTAATGCCAATCAGGCATAAAATACAGTGATTCTTCCGGTAAAATTAATTATACAAACATTTCACTCGACTGAGATTGACCAGTCTGCTTTTTGCAAAACAACTGCCATACTACTCAGTAAGACATGTCAATTCAAAAACATAATACTCAAGAGTGCAGAATCAAAAGAACGAAAATATGCTAAGGAACATAGATGGATAAAGGGTATTCTGAAACAAGCTACAAAGCCAGTTGATGGAATATAAGAATTTGTCATACCTCAACATGGAACTTCACAGTATTCTACGAAAAAAATAAACCCAAGAATCCAGATTAACGTTTGATAAATGAAAAGGTAGCACAAAGTACATTCACATATCTCAAAACAAACGATAATCTTTCCAACAAATAGTTAGCACATGAATATGTATCAGTGCCGGTTATGCACACATGCATGGTGTTGCCATCTGCAACGACATGAAAAAATCTTAATGGAACTGCCCTTCTTCCTTTCATATACATGGTTTAAAAAAGAGGCATGCAGCTTATCAAAAACAACAACATTACATTATAAGAATATGGAAAGAAGAAATGATCATAATGATCCACACGACAAAATCTATCCATTTATAAACTATGCTAAGAGATCCAATGGGGGACAGCTTGTCAGTGGGCGGAAAGGAAAAAGCCAAGCAAGAATTAAATACATACCAACATTTTATTTAATCCATATTAGTCAACATTTGCACACAAGATTATAGCCAAAAGGATAGGTCACGTATATCTGAAGCATCTCAAGGAATAAAGTATCATTACAAGCCAAACAGACATCCCGACAGTAATTATCCCGGTGAGCAGAAATGACATGACTGGCAGATTGACAGCACGAGAAAACCCACAAAGTTATATAAAATATAGTTCAAATATTCTATACACTGCATATTTCCTTATAACTGGACCAATAAGCAACATCAAGAGACAGTAATTCTATTAAGTACGCCACTGGAGTTGAATTAGCAAGTTCAATCCACTAAACCATTGCTTAAGCAGACGCATGAATGTTTCCAGAAACAAATGCAAACCTCAAAACGTTAACTATAAGATGATATAAAGGTCAGAAACAAGTTTAATTTCTACTTGAGTTGGATGCATTTCAAATACCAGAATAACAGAAGCATCAAATACACCATGTATTCATGTGTGCATGCAATTCCAAGGTCGTTCGCATTACGAAAATGTCACAGGGAGTGAAGTGTGCGGAAAAGGACATCCATGTAATGCTCTTTCTTTCTTGGCAATAAATGATGGTGACATTGCAACTACTTCTCATGCTAAAGTCTAAAGCAGCACAATAATGATGAATTCCGCATTTACTTCTAGTTGATGGAACCAAACTAACCCAACAGGGAGAAACTGGTGCAACAAAATGTTAGCTAGCAACAGTAAAAGTTTAAGTAAGAAAACAAGTGAGGAAAAAAAAAACAAAAAATAGACTTAGCCATATGGGAGAGTTTTAGAAATAATAAGTTCCTTACTATTGCTGAAGCATGAGCGGAATATTGAATCCAGGTAAGACAAATTGCTACACATAAAAAGTTAACTTCATACCAGGATGCCTCTTGATGATGCATTATACTTTACACTGTAGATCTCACCTTTGCCAAACAAAGATTTAAATAACTAAAGAGCAAGGAGACGGAAAGATACAAAAGAAGGCTACAACTTAGAGAAAGCAAACAGATTTTTTTTCATCACAAAGTTTTAAGAACTAATATATCTGGTAGAACAGGATTCACGGACTTTTATTAACTATCTTTTCTAATTTTTGATACAAGAATTACTCTAATAGTGAGAAAATGCAGCTTCTTTGGCATGCGATGATCCTCAAAGGGCAATTACAAAAGGCGAGTAGAATTGAGGAGCAACAATACTAAAACCGTGAAGCGGAAAATATCAAGGAGACCACAGATGTTAATAAGATACAAATTAAGGAGCAACTTACCAAAACCCTATTGATGATAATTAGTGGACATCAGAAAAATTAGACAAGAATGTCACTCCTTGATACACCTTGAAAGTAACCTTAATTTATTGGATACTGCCATACCCCGAACCTCCGAGCAGTCCTCCAGCCGAAGGACCATAAACATCTGAAGGATCGAGAATCGGGGATGAAGAAGAGGCCCCATTTCTCCCTCCACCATTACCAGCACTACTGCTACCACCACCCAAATGCAATTCAGATATATTAGGGAACCCATCTCTGGTTTCAACTCCTTGGTCATATAGAAACCCTTTGAAAACATGACCACCAATCTTCACTACAGCCTGATACGCAAACTCATCTTCGCCATCTTCCACTGCGGTCACTCTAACACACCTGAAAGTTGCTGGTGCAGTTACTTGCCCCGGTAATCTCTCTTTGAAACCTGCATCTGCAAACATAATCCAACAAAACCCTACTCAGAATTTCAACTTTATATTAACAACCCTAAACTCTTCTCAGGTTTTTATAGAGAGGATAATAGACTGATAAACTCTAAAACCTTGGTGACTAGAGCTCGTGTCGAAGCTCCTTGGAGGAGTAGTATTAGAAGTGGATGTATGAGAAGTTGTAGTGGTTTGAGAGTTTATAAGTCTAGGTTTCTTGACACCAGAAGTAGACCCGGTAGAACCAGCACCACCACCACCGCCAGCAGTTGCCATAAGCTGGCGCTCTCTCCTCCTCGCAGCCGGTACCCACGTGCTCTTCACATGTGTAACACAATCAAAACCGCGGCTTTTGCAACACGTCCTACACCTTCTATGGCTACAATCTTTCTTCGCTTGGTTTCCACAATCTTGACACGTAGTTGTAGCAGACGATGATGAATTCCCTCCATAATTTCCACTACCATTACCCCCACTATTTCCACTTTGCAGTAGTAGATTCGCTGTAGAAGAATTATTGTGATGATCAAGAATCGAAGGAGTGGTATTAGAAGGTTTCTTGATATATTGAGAGCCTTGGTTTTGCCAAAACTGGTGAATTCCACTAATCTTGTTTCGACCATTATTCAACAAATCTTGATCATCCATGTTTTGTGGCGTAAGACAAGGCGCCGCGGTAAGGAGTGGAATGACGCCAACACCTACACCAACCCCAAGAGCTGTAGCATTGGAAGCATTGATTGGATCTGCTGCTGAAAGATTGATTTGCTCATGATGCTGGTGGTGGTGGTGGTGGTGGTGGTTGAAGGAAGTAGCAGGAGCCACAACGAAGACGTCGCGAAGGCCCACCATGCCCATTTCTGGAGGGATGCTGTAGTTGATGGACCGGGCTGAATTAGGCCATGTTGTACCGGATGTTTGGCCGGCGGCTCCAGCAGCGGCGGTGGGACCGGCATTGAAGCCGAGTGAAAGGTCGTCTGGACCAGCGGTACGGATACCAGAAGAGTTAGAGGTGGCCCAGTCAGCAAAGGCACCAGTGTCTGATAGGAGCTGTCTACTCCTTGTAGTAGCCACAACTGATAATTTTGTAAATTTTTTATGATATTGTAAAATATAAGAAAGACACAATCTTTTTATTTATATGTATGGAAGTAAATATCCAATATGAGTGTTTTTATGATGATTATAGAAGAGAGAGAACGAAGGATAGATTTTTAGAAGAAGAAACTAAATCTTAAGGATGTGTGTATGTAGGTGTTATGTGAGTGAAGTGGGGTCAAGAACTCTGAAATTGTATCAGAGAAAGAGAGATTTGTAGAGAGAGAACGAGAGTAGAAAGAAAGAGATCTTGTTTGTTGGGTGGGCTTTGTTTCTTTTTTTCTTTTTTTTTTTTTTCTTTTTTTGCCTCTAAGTAGGACTGGTTGCTGCTGCAGCTGCTGGTCTGCTGCTGCTGCTGGTCTCTGGGGTTTCTGTTGGTAATATACAATCTAAATACTATACTAAACACAACTGTCACTTTGGCTTTTGTGGGAGACAAAAAAAAATAAAAAGTTGGGGTTTGAGAGGGAGAGATGACTGAGTTCTCTGCGGAAGAGAGAGAAGCAGAAGAGACTGATAAGAGAAGCAAAAAATGCAATAACCAGTTAACGATCCTTTTCTTAAAGACTCCCTCTCTCTGGTGTGTTATAGTATTTAGTGGTGTATTTGTTGTCTTGCCGACCTTTCTATGTATCTATCTCTCTCTTCGTAATAATCATCATCTTCTTCTTCTTCTTCTCTTCTTCACTCAGCTTTATCTTTCTCTCTCTCTCTCTCTCAAAATGGTTTCCTAGAAAGCGAAAAATGAGGTGGGTTCCTCTCTACCTCTCTTTCTTCTTCTCTCTAAAATACTAGGAGTTATTGTGATTATTATTGGAGAGAGTGAGAGAGAAAGAGTATAAAGACTTTTGTTCTCTCGTTTTTGTAATTTTATGAGGCTCAAAAGTCACATGGCACCTTTCATTCACCTTGGCCAACTTCGGCTCTACCCATCGATCTAGGAATAGTGTATCACAATACCATCCATTCTCCACTCTCTCCCACTGCGCGTGCGCATGGATATGCTTCCGCCATCGCTCGCCTTGAGTCAGACCGAACTTGGAAGGGAGGAGAGCAAGATTCTAGTCCTTTTGTCCAGCGTCGACGATAGGACGAGGCAAATTTCAATTCATATGATGGATCCTGGCCCTGAAACCTGGAATTAGGTGATTAATTTGTTGTGTAATGTGTACTTGAAATTGATGCATTTTTTCAGGATCAATGCAAGAAAGCTATGCGATATAGGAACTAAATCCACGTCAATAAAAAGCAATTTGATTGATTAATTGGGATTGATCCAGGGTCCGTTTGGAATACCAATAGCTACGGTTTTGAATGTTGTTGTTGTCGTAATTATAGTGGAGGTAAAAGACGTTTCTATCATGCACCATTAAAAACGATTTTGAAGAAAATATTGTTCAAAAGCATTTTGTAAAATCCAAAAACTTCAATTTGGAGCTTTCACTTTAATTATTGAAACAGTTTTCAATATATCATTCGATAGACTTCATCAAACCATTTTTTTTTTTTTTAGGTTTGCTTGCTCCACTTAGGTGGTTGAAATATATCACTTAAATTTGATTTTTTTTCCTCTTTTTTTTCTTGGGATTGAAATTTGATTTCTAGCATCGTCAATGACGAGACTCGAAACTTCGAACAAAAATATGATGATGAAATGATCTTTATATAATTGAAGGAATAATAGAAATCGACGATGGATGATGATCCAATTTATTAAAACTACTTGTAAAATAAGTTTTTTGTATTAATTAAAAGATCTTTCAATGACTTCATTAGTGCACAAAAAGAGAAGATCCTTAAATAAGTTGTAGTGATTGTTTAGATGTATTGGAGATAATAAGTAATATTATTAAGGATTAAGAGAACAAAATTGGAGCTTGTAGCCTTTTCTCTCGAAAACCTTTATATAGACGAGGACTTCGATCGGTTTGTATGGTGTGAGGGCAAATAGGTTTATTCATTTGCTTTTAATAGTCTCTAATATTAATTTTATGAATAAATATCTTTTTTATATATATAAACTCAGACATATAAGGTTTGTAACATTAACTTATTTTGAGCTTTTTAAAATATACAAGACAACACGTGTCATTTGAACACATTAATTACGTATAAAAATTTTATATTTGATCCATCAACTTTGTCTTAGATCCTCATTTAGTAGTAATTATGCTAAGTTGCCTACAAAATTACTCATAACTTAATTGTGTTAGGTTCATATAATAGTTATTTTAAAATTTACGATTGGAGTGGATTTTATGATTTTGAGATTAGACTGATAGAAAGTTGAAGGGTTTATCTAAATTGAGGCTTACATATGTGGTATTTTCTACCAGGAAGAAGTTTTGTTGAAGCTTGTAGATTTGAAGATGTGATTTTAAACAATTGAACGACAAGTTCAAGGCCACAAGGTCGCTTCGAAAATGATTAACATCCGAAAAATAAGGTTCCTCCTTCGTCTTTAAAAGAAACAACTACATGTGGTTGTTAAACATCACTTTGCAACTTTAAATTTTGTATTGGGATGATTTTTTTTTAATATCAAAATTTTAATGGTTAAACATATATGAGTTTAAATCCTCCAAATTTAAAGATATATTAGTGAGTTAGCATAAAACCAATATTAGAACATAACCTAATAATTTAAAAAATTTGATTGAAATGATAATAAAGATCACTAAAGCAATTTTGTAGATAATAAAGCTTGCATTAGCCATTTTTTAGAGTTTAGGTTTATCCTTGTAATGACAACAAGATCAACCATTTCTACTTGGATTTAGTGGCAAAAATCATCCCTAAATTATGAGGTTATGGCAATTTATCATTCATGCTATCAATTTTATTTATTTGGATCTCAAACTATTATTTCATGAGCCAATTTTTTGTTTTTTTTTTGTTATTTCTAATGATCAAAATATTAATCGTTAACTGAAATGTAGTTTAATAGTAAAATTTATTCCTAAACTATTAAAGTTATGACAAAATAAGACCTATACTATCAGTTTTGGTTATTTGGACCATGAATTATTAGTTTTTGAGCAAATTTTATCTTTTTTATTATTATTATTATTCCTCATAGAAAAAGTGTTGATCATTCTGTTTTTTTTTTTAGAATTAAAATTAATTTCAATTTTTTTAATAGTAGTTAGCTTTAAAGAAGTTTCGATGATTTTATTGTTTATAGATTTGATTTTTATTGTTGGGATAATTAATTTTGTTTAATGGATCCATCTAGTGAAAAAAAAAATTGAATTAATTTTATTAAGAATTAAAATTAATTTTGAAAAAAAATAATAATTAGCTTTAAGGTAGCTCGGATGAATTTTTTTTTTAATGAATCTTACTTTATTGCTAGATAATTAATAATATGCAATGGATCCATCTAGTTAAAAAAAATATTATTACTAATTGATTTTAATTTTTAAAATATTTAAAACAATGTCATTTTAAGCATTTTGGTTAAAAAAAGAATAGAAAACAATGATTTGAGATATAAATTACCTTAGGTTATAATTAGAACGTCTATCTTGCTTATTAACGGAGTCAAAAACCAGTCTGCCCTGTCAAAATTTTGGCCGGATCAAAAATTAAAAATTACATTTAAAAAAAAAAAAAAACAAATCAACACGTGGATTTACCGAATGACCCGCATATCACCGGAAGACGTGGTGACCTACGTCTTTCAAGTCAGGTTTTCTGTTGGTTTAACAGTTATTCCTAGGGTTTTTATACATTGGATTCTTAAATTAATTGATCTCTATTGTTCAAAAAGAGAATCGATGTGATTTTTTTGCGTGAATTCAAATTATATTGTCATTGCAAGTTAAAAATTATACAATAATAAGAGTAAAAGATAATAAAATAAGTAACAGAAGGATCAATCAATCTAGAATTTTAGAGTTTTTCAATTAATCAAATTAATAAAATAATAGAGGTAGCAAGCCCAAACCACGTACTACTAACTTTTATACATATAGATGGATTGAATGCTTTATTTATTCATTTCAAAGTCTTCCTATATCAGCTTTAAAAGTCTTTATGCCATTTTTTTCTCTTTAAATAGCTGATAACAACTAAAAAAAGAATTAGTTATTTAAATTTATTATTATTATTATTGTGCACGTTAAAAAGGTTTTGTGGGACATAATCAGATAAGATGATGTTTTTGAAGGAAAGACAAAGAAAAGTGAAAGAAATATCGAAAAAAGTGACTTCCGGTAGCTAGTTTTCTTTAGCAATTATTTTCAAAATTAGAAACTACAGGACCGATATTGAAAACATTTTAATTTAAAGGGATCGAAATGGATGTTGAATCTACGAGACTAAAACTATCATAAAAAAAAAAAATTAAAAAACAAAGATGTTGGATGCACCTCCCAATTGCCCTACGTCAGGGCGTGTATTGCACGCTCTGGCAATTTAAAATTTTTATTTGAAATACAAATAAATAAAGATGGAAGTCCAAACTAGAGTGACTTCCTCGCCCCTCAACAAATTCACGTATCGGATTCGTTGTGTCGTTTGGGTAGGATTTTTTTTGTCTGATAAACGGGAGAGATTTTCAAAAATGTCGTTTTGTATGTAGCCAACGCAATTGTGAATTTTCAACGCTCTCTTTTTATTTAGTCATTCTATATTATACATCATCCCCCATCTTCTTTTTCCATGTTTTCCTTATTACTATAAAGTATCCGTCAAATTTAATAGTGTCTAAACCACTTAATTAATATTCAAACCACTCTAAGGAATTTCTATCATGCTTGTGTAGTCTGTCTTCCATCCTGTTTTAATTTCGCTGAATGAGACTCGTAACCTGATGCAATTATGAATTTCTTGGCGTGAAAGAGAGATTTTTTTAATAGCTGTTTTTAATCATTTTAAGAGCAACATTGTTAAATTATTTTACAATATTCATTAATTCTAGCTAGGTTCAAGTACTTTTTGGTCTTTAATTTCAATATTGAATTTTAAACCCTAGACATATATATATAAGTCCTCAAGTGATCCATTTGAAGCACCAATTTGGATTAGGTCTTGGAATATTTGGTTAATTTTTTTAACCACACAAAATATTAAAGTGTTGGGCGTAAAGTAGTGTGACAATTACTGGAATGATTACATGGGGCGCATTCATAGCATCTAGCTATGCAAAGACTAAAGGAAGGTGATAAACACTTGGAAAAATGAAATTCTAGTATGAGTACTTATGGATTAAGTGACGAGGTAAAGGCAACGACTGATTAACGTAGACGTAAGCTGTGGCAACTCGCTTTTAACGATAGACGTGTGTCCTTAATTAGAGTCATTTGAAAGCGTGGTTTGGTTTTAACTTTTGCATTTTAAGAATGCGGCAAAAATAATTGAATGTTTAGGGCACGTGAAAGTGAGAAAGCAAAGCTCTCTGGGTCCTTTGGCATGCCGTATGGGGCCAAGAATCTCCTCTTAAGTCTCCTCCTTTGTCACTTCTCTTCTCTCAAGGTTTTCCTTCGCTTCTTTCACCTTACTCATTCTTATCAAAGACTCCTCACAAGCGTGTGTTAATAAAGTCTCTCTTTTTCAAAGCACACTCATGTTTCTCTCTTTCAAAGTTTTCATGGATTTGGAAAGCACTTTCCTTTTGAGTTCCACTCATTAACTTGTTGGGTTATGGAGGAGCTGATCCGGCTTCTCACTAAGATCAGTGCTTTACCTAACTTACTTAGTAAAGCATGATCAGTAATAATTTTTATTTTAACAAAATTGTATTTTTGGACCAACTTGTTTGCAGAATATTATTAATTTTAAATTTAATTAAACCATCTCAAATCAAATTATATACCTTCACACCTAACATGTTATTGGGTTATTGTATAGCAGAGGACTTTCTGATGTACTTGCGAAAAAAGAATCTTAAAAAATTGCCACTTTGGTTTAGCCTTCTTGCTAGTACTACT